ATAGTCTAGATTTCTAAATTCGATTCCTGTCAAATAACACCAGCTGTTAATCGATATAAACTGCAGTTCGCTAGCGTTTTTGTTACAATAAACCGAATGCTAAGTTCTCACGTGTAATTGATTAAGTATTCAGACTGTGCAGTTAGTTTTGCAATTGTTTTTAATGTGAAAATAACGTAAATTAGGATATTTAATTTTCAAATAGATGTACACCATTGCTGCAGATTTCCTTGTGCAGTTTCGAAGCTGCTAAAATCCGAACAACTTATTCAATTGTTTATGTGACAAATACATCCACACATCTGACGAATCCGGCATCGACTGCCAGCGAAAGCTCGTGCTGCCGTGCAGTATAAATCTCGCCTTAAAGGTAGTCAAGATAGTGCTGCCTCTTTATATAGACTAACCATCTCCTTGGACTAACATTTTAGTATCGCTGTATATTGTAAAAGACAGTAATTTTACTTTATAGGGCCAACACTTCCAAAGAAAGATTAACGTAGCCCTTTCTAAATTGTTGACGGATTTTGATGCGTTTCAATAACCCCCCACCCCCACCACTATGTTGACTGCAATTTGATTGGATCATGCCATGTCATCTGCTGGGATCTGTTCCGCTTCAGTAGGCCTAACAGTACGGACAGCCTTTGGTGCCTCAACCCCGAAATTACTGTACAGTTATGGAGTGTATGGGGAGGAGGTTTGTGCATTTTCTCTATGGTTTGTGGTACAGAAATAGACTAAAATACATCAAATTTAACGAAAGTTTGCTGATCATTCTTGAACTCCTCGAATAGATCATAAAAATCAATAGTGTAATATAAAATGTGTAGCTGGTAGGTGGTTTTATGTTGAATGTACAATATATAAGATTGTTAGGCATAATGAATACCCAACAATGACCGCCGTGGCGCCGGGAGGCCATGCGATGTAATAAAAGTGAGTAGATACGTACATTGTCATTGGTAGTAAGATATTTTCATTATGAATATTATCACCTGCCAGTGAAGCAGATCATGGGATGATAAAAGGTAAATATAATGTCAAAAAATGAAATTACGACAAAAAAGAAGGGATGGTCCACGGAAATTATCCGGTGTCCATGGCAGCCAACCTAAGCTGTGACGATCCAATGAGTAAATACAATAAGAAATGCGTACTGTATACTGAAGGCCTTTTTATATATAAATAAAAAGCGTCGCGTCGTCGAACAAATCGGAAGCTCCCAATTCAGCCATTGGAACCTCACTCTGCTGCAAATTCTGAAATGCACGTCTCTCGAACATGAAGATTAGGCGGAGTAATATTAACGCATTTAAAGAATTTTAAAAATTCATGATAAACTACCGTACAATGAGGTGATGTATCGGTCTTAAGTTAGATGTGAATATCTCTACAATACATGCATGTTAGTCTCCTTGACCGATTTTAAAAACACGCCATTGTGAATCGCCTTTAATTTACTTATAAAACTGTCTATTCTACAAAGTATAGACCTGGATTATCGAACAGATGTTACCAAACAAATTGCTGAATTGTCACGTAAATCATTCTCCCGACAATCGAAAGTATTTTAGTGCGTTAGTACACTATTCAGCATCATTGAATCTTCAGTCTATTTTAAATCCAAAGAGGAGGTACACAACAACCTCCGTGTTCAGTATTGACCAACTTTTACTTCAAGATATTTCGCCGCAGTTGCGAGGTTTTCATTGAAAATCATGAGTATATATTCTATATCATATTCATTCTATATCATTATTAAAGTTTAATGAAACATAAGAAATAGTAGCGAGTTGCTTACCTTGAATGTTTAAATTACAGCACAGTGTATGGAGAGAACGTACGGAGTAAGTTGGCGTAATAGTCCCAGTTTAACGAACACTGAAGCGACACACCCTGACGCAGCTTCAGGATATCGCTCAATGACTTTGAATATGCATGAGAGTTTTATTACGTAGAATAATAGCTTGCTCAGTGCTCTCTGTACTCAAAATCCCATCTGCTGTACACGGCGCTGTACTCTTTTCAAGGTTAAGCTAAAAAACCACTCGACGAAAATCATTTCCAAATTCATTTTGTTTAATTATTTATATGGAATTTGGAGGTTTTTTTTCAAGACATTCAAGGAAAACAGGTAATTAACATTAGGCCTCTACAATACATTGAATAAGGCCCTTCTCATCAGTTTTCTTCACAACCCAACCATACTCAATCATACACCACCCCTCAACTTCCCACTAACAGAGTTGTACACCCAGACCGTATCATCAAAAAACGTCTGGGGAGGAAGCAACGAAAAATCGATGTGGAGCGTCAGCAAATGCCTAGTAGTGGTGGCGCTAAGGGGTATAGAGTCCCCCTGTCAGGGAGCCCCCCCCCCCACTCGCCACTCGTTGGGGAAGTTAAGAGAGATTCGTCAGGGGATTAAACAAAAATAATATTAGGCCTATATTTTAATAATATATTTTAAAATGTGTAGGCCTATATCAAATGTTGGCCTATTGAATAGGCATATATAAATTAATTGTTTGGCGCCGATGAGATACAAAAAAAAAAACACCATCAAATGACATTTTGACTGGCTATTAATGACTTTTACTATTGACTTGGCAATACCAAACTCCTTCCTTAGATCAAAATGCCCTGCTCCTAACGGCTTATTAATTTCTAAAATTGTTCTCATTTGGGAGGGGACACCTTCCCCCCCCCAAACCCCGGGCTCGGGCCTGCCTTTCGGGGGGAGGGGGGTCGCCCTGCAATCGGGGAAATCCTTGCGCCGCCACTGATGCTTAATTTGATTGATAGAGGTTTGAGCTGGGTGTTCCAAACGACTGTACTGGGGGACATGAGCCTAAGCCTGTAGCTATTGATTTTGAATGAAGGCCTGTACTGTAATTACAGAAAGTAGACATAAAAATGGGTGAAAATTGGAAATACGGTATTCGTTTACTGAGCTCTCAGATACTAAAACATTAATGGCATTCAAGAATAAATTAAAAACGAAGCAGAAATTCAAAATAAAGTTACATGTAGGCCCACTGGTTGCATGTGGCCCGACAGTGTTTTTTTTTTGTTTTTGTTTTTGTTTTTGTTTTTTTTTTGTGGTCCGCGAAAATAAGTGTGCGGCCCGCCAAACATCTTTGGCTAGAAAACACATTGGTTTTATGGTCCGACACCGATCATCTGTAAAAAGTAATATTAAAACAGAGAATAAAGTGGTATAAAAGCAGTGCATGAATTTTGGAAGCACTGGAAACGTCAAAGTGCGGCCCTCGGTGTGGTGGTTACTCATTGTTTACTAGTAGTGTTTCTTTGGATTTTAGGTAAAAACGATAAAGGGGACCGGGAGGACAGGAGACGGTTATTTATAAGTTGGACACATTTTATGCTTATGGAGGGTCATCAGGAAGTATGAATGATCTCTTAAAACAACAGATATGAACCCAACTTATCGAAACCTGATTAGTTTACATATAGGCCTATGAGTTGTTTTCGTAATTCTTATTTTCGTATTCGAGGAAAACTAGACCCAGACGTACCGGTACAGAAGCAGAGCTTTTTGACTTTCTGGTATTGCAAAAGGAAAACAGTACAGTAATTTGCTAGGATAATAAATAGCTAATAATAATAATAATAATAATAATAATAATAATAATAATAATAATAATAATAATGATGATGATGATGATGATGATGATGATGATGATGATGATGATGATGATGATGATGATGATGATAATAATAATAATAATAAAGATATTAATTTGCGTCAGGAAAATATCATAGAAGTGATGTTTTGCCCTACCTGACGTGTTATAGTACAGACGCAAATTCATATCTTTCATAGCTAAGGGGTCGGATTCATCACTAGTCACCAAGCGCAAGTTTGGTCAGGCTAGATAGATGTAGGTTCGATTCCCACCCGAATCACAACAGAAAGTAATGGAAACACCATGGGTGAAATGGCATGTCTACCTACTGTATAAGCTTGTGATTAATTCGAAAAGCTCCAGCCGCCTGCCTATTTTTCTCTCACTGTTTACGACACAAATTTATCTGTATGATAATCGATCGGCCTATGAAAATAACTGAAATCATAGGCCTATTACAAAATTGTCCATTCACTGACTGAGTTTGGTAAACATAATATTTTTACATTTTGTAAACAAAACATGCAGGTCGTATGCTAAGTTTCTAATTTTCTTAAAACCATAATACATTAACATAAAAACGTCATATGAATGTTAGTGTGACTTATACTTGCTGGTATGATTTTAATTACAACGTCCTAGCTAAAATTGTTTATACATTGGACCCTTTTCTGTCCAGGCACTGCAGGGGAACGTTAATTTCTACCGATTTTGATTGTACAGGTACATGTGTTTGAATGACATGCCACTGTTGCTGTAGGCGTATGGAACAGTGCCTGGTAAAATCGATCACCTTTATCGGGCTAAGCCCTAGGATTGTTTTGTGCTACTACAGTTATAGGCCTACTATTTAGTGGCGGCGCCAGGGGAAAGTGGTGTCGGGGAGAAATTTCCACCGTCGGACAAATGGGCCCGCGTGTCTTCCACGCCAAGACAGATTAAAAACATCCAGATTTAAACAAAGTTACCGTGATTTCCAAAATACCTGTCGTCTAAAAGCTTAACTTTGCAACACCCTAAACCAGAATCATTCCCCGTGAAACCCCACCAGATTTTATTACGGTATCGGACTTGACCGAAACTTCAGGCTGGCTTTGGTTCGGACCCTCTGTCGGACTAGTTAGACCTGTCGGCAAATTTCTTGCTACCACTTTTTTGCTAATTAATACCACGGTACTTTGACGACGGTCAGTAGCGTCGATAGGGGTGGGACTAGTGCGGCAGGTGTTCAACCAAGATTGAAGAGGCCTGTCCCAGGCGAAATTGTTAAAAACATGTCATCCGTTTTGGACGACTAGGCCTACTAAAATCGTGTACATCAGACATCAAAAAGGCTGCTAAATGTCTGCGTAACCCAGTGGCCGGACCGTACGACCCGGCTTGACTTTAGCCCAGCAGAAGGACCCCTCCCCAGACCTCGCCATTATGGTTCGGAAAGTGCGCACCCCGGAGCTACTGCCTCGGTGGCCTAAACTGCTCTACTACAAAAAAAAATTGATACTATTCATATACCCATGTTATACATACTCTATCTATCATACCACGGTAGTTTGTATTATTTTACCTTTACCATCGCTATAATGTAATCGATGTAATTATGCAACTTCTCATACAATTCGTATGCTATTAACATAATAACGCATTTTAACGTCGTTTCGAAATATAATTTACGGTACATAATATACATTACGAGCATAGTGTAAACTGCATAAATTACAGCTAGGCCTATTCGGCTATAAAAGCGAATTCTAAAGGTTTATTTTCCCATAAACGTAGACATAAAAATAGGCCTACTGTTTTTTATTCGAAGTCAATATTATAGCGGAACGTATTTTTACGCAAAATTACAAAACGACATTCAGAAAAGTTTATTTTGTTGTTATAACTACAATTCGAACAGGATATAGCCTACTAAAAATCTTTTAAATTCGATTGACTGCGTATTTGCACGAGATCGATTTTGGCTCATCGACAAGTCTGTAAAATGGTTACCATTAAATGTTACATGCCTATTGTTATATTCACGACCCGGGTACAAAGAAAAGCGGTTTAGCGTGTTTGTCTGCGTGGGTTCACACTAGACGAGTTGACGTAAGAGCAGTCAAAATAGGCGTCTCTAGTGTAAAACACTTTTAGACTACTTTAGACGCACTGAATCAGTAAATTCCAGAATGGAGAGCCTTAAGCGTTTCATTTCAACAGAAATTTGGACTAGTGACAGTTCAATTTTCATCATAAGGCAACAGAAAATAATGGTAATGGTGAGATATAATGTGCATAAGTATAATGCTACATTTCGTTTCTAAGCGCTGAAAACCTCCACCAAAATCCCGGCCAAAATATTAAATTTAAGGAAGAATACAAACTACGCGTCTTAATCTGCCGTAATGATGGGTCTTTCCTATCATACTCATTCGACCTTATTTCTACCCCTCCTGTTGCAGTATTTACTTTTGGGGCCATAGGAGGTTGGCGCTTAGAATTACATGAGAAAAGATGAGATTTGAGCCGACTCGAGACTCGAAGACAGTCAAAGATGGAGTCACGCACGTCTTATCTGCAGTGGAGTAAGTTCTGAGGGGCCCTGTGTTCGAGAGTACCGTTGGGCCTTTGACGCATATAAATCCTTATAGGGTCTGTCCTAATACTAACCCCAGCCGAACATCTATTTGTGAAATTCAATATTAAAAGTTGCTTAGCACTGGAAACACAAATAATGTATAAATCAAATAGCTGGTAACACATGGAACAAGGTGTTACTGTCTATGAAGTTTCATAAGAAGCTTAAAGGTGTTCCGTTAATGGGGGTTCTACTGTGATTATAATCAAACTGTAGTGAACTGGAAGTTTGTGGGTCTATAATTATAGGCCTAAGCCTTTCAAAATTTCTAAGTTGTTGATTTCGGGACTTCTTTCCCTGGTCTCCTTCCAGTGTTTCTGACAATGACATCCCTTGGCCATGCCCACTTACGCTCTCGCGTAACATGATGTTACTGGTGACATCCCTTGGTCATACCCACTTACCTTCCCTCCCCACCCACCCCACAACCCCGTCGCTGACATCAGATCGCTCTCGGGCAAACGCTGAAGCCACCCTTAAAATATTATCTAAATTCCAGATACAGATTCTTAAAAAATTAAAAATATATTTTAATACACAACATTAGGGCTATGCTTTAGCCAGGCGTATTAGGCACTGCCGTTTTATCAGGAAGATAAGAAGGTCTTAAAGTCAGGGTCCGGAGGAAAAAAATGTTTGATATTTTGCATAACTGATTTTTCAAAAACACAGAAAGC